GGCGTACTTTAGCCTATTTTATTTCTGTTTATTTTCCTCTCAGGTCTTTAGGTAGAGTCTGACATACTGGGTCAGAGTTCAACTTGAATAAACTTTGACCCAGTGATTTAACTGATACCTGCTGGTTGTAACATGATGCAGAAATACCTTAAGAATCTGCCTTTATTGACCACTACAGGCTGGCTTCAATGAGGAAGGAGCAAAAGAAAACAGAAAGCAAAAACATGGCTTCATAATTTATTTCTAGCTACTAACTAACTGCTACTACTACTCTAACTACAACTATTATGGAAGGTTTATTACATAAACAATGTCAATGCATAGGTAACATATAGATAATATATCACTCCCAGATAGCTACACATCTTCCAGTTTACTGTCGAATCAAAATCCCACATTCAGTTAGGTTTAATATTTAGATTTCAATAGAGAGGTCACACAGCAAATTAGATTCAAGCCATTTTCTTTTACAAAAATAAAGACAAAAAGTCTTTTACAAAATTAAAATAATTCAACATGACAGCCATTCTTAAAGTTTTTAGTTTTATTTCCAGTGTTTCCTTAGGGGGGTCCTCCACACTGGGGGCTGTGTGCGGTCTGCTACTGGAGGTTCTGTCTGCAGGTCCTTTCGGTCGGCTGATTGGGGGGGGCCCCACCTCGTTGTGGGGATCCCCCTGTCTGCCAGGTTGGGGGTCCGGGCGCTGGCGCCCCCAGTAGTCATGGTCTGCAACTCCTCCTGGTGTGGACGGCCCCAATGGTAGCGTTTCCCACAATCCCTCAGTGCCATGCCATGACTCTTTTAGTCTCGTGGTGAGTGCGTTTGTGCGTGCGTGCGCGACTGCATTTGTTGTATGTGTATGTGTATGCATGGAGGGTGGGAGGGACGGGTTTACTTTATTTTTTAAATGTTGTAATGTTTTTAAATGTTGTAATGTTCTTAAATGATTTGTTGTTTTTAACTGTTGTAAAGCACTTTGCGTTGTTGTTGTTGCACATGAAAAGTGCTATATAAATAAAATTTGATTGATTGATTGATTGATTGATTGATTGATTTTGCTTGTTGAGGTATGAAGATGTTACCTGTAAGTTACCAGACAAACCAGATAAATGATGATGAGTAAATAATCAGGTAATCCTAGTTTTTTAGGAATATCAGAATACAGTGAAAGTGTAAATGCTTTACAACAGCTATTACTTCAATAAGATAAGGCACAGTAGACAGGTGAAGCTTGCTCCCTTCTCACGTGTCCTTTATACCCTATATCCCATTCGATCACAGTTACCCCTTAAGCCTTTAAGGGTCAGATTTTGAATATTGCATTTAACTACACCTTGTCATTGTCCGTGAGACACTGAATAGCTCTGAAGGCACTTCAGGAGACTATTTTCCCTTCAAATTAAATATTTAACTTAAAGTTCAGAGCCGCTGCTTGACAGAAATGTATTCTTGTGTTGTCAGTGAAGTATGAGACTGAAAAAAATGTGATGATATCTCCTTGTTTTGGAACTCACTTAACAATTTGTCTAAGTTCTCTTTCACACTAATATTTTAATAAAGTCCCCTCTGCCCCCAACCCTCCTCTGTTTTGTTCAGGGATCTGCCAAGTGTTGGGTACACGTGTACACTGCTGACAAATGGGAATCCAATTATCTGATCTAACACTAAAGTGCTGACTCCAGAGATGGGCTTTTCATCAGCTGGATCCCTCAGCCTGGGGACACAGAAGTCCATCTGCTGGGGGCATGAGTCTGTAAGTGCATATGTGTAACTTTAGGTTATGGGTACAAAGAGCTATTTATACAAACTCATGTTATGGGGAATTATTTTCCATGTGAAACCAAACACTGTCTCCTTAAGGTTATAACTAATGCATTTTAAGAAGTCTGTTAATGCCTGTAAAATGAACTATGTTCACCTTTTTCTGGTAATATGAATGATAAAAACAAAGTGAAAGCAGCATGTTTTTGATGCAGTGCTTCGAAACCTCTTAGAATAAACGTCAAGGTGGATCAAATCAGTAGTCAGTGTTTAATTTTTTTTGTAGTGCTCATATGGGTCATTATGGAATGTACAGTGAACCCTCGTTTATCGCGGGGGTTACGATCCAAAAAGAACCCGCGATAGGCGAAATTCGCGAAGTAGTCAGCTTTACTTTGTACAATTTTTATACAGTACAATAGAACGAAACCAAAGATCAAAACCTGTTTTCATGCCCAAGCATTTGTTTAAGAAATAAAAATAGAAACGTTTTGTTACAAATAACTGTGATAGTTTTTAGAAATACTGCAAAATAATAATTTTAATAATCAACCTACAAGGTTGGACACATTGTGACTCATGCGTATTTCACAGTTCCTCTGACAGAACTGTAATGAACGACACACCAAAGGGTCCCATTCTTGTGCCGCTCGCTGAAGTTCAGTGACCATTCTCACCATGGTTGCAAAGTGATCAAGTGTTAGTCCATCCTCCTCATCTTTATCAACACTTGTTTCCTCTTCTTCCCCTTCTCCCTCATCCTTGCAGAACACAATGCGTGTTCATACACTGCAAAAAAAAAAAAAAACATTAAAAAACTGCACTAAAAAAATCCACAAAGCCGTGAAAGGTGAAGCACGTTATAGCGAGGGTTCACTGTACTCAGAAGTTACTCTTTATGTCTTTTAGGTATGATGCTTTGTTGGAATTTTAGTTTCAAATTTAAATCACATTTTTGCTTTAATACAAATCTCACAAAAAAGACCTAAGCCAGCAACATGTAAGGTCGACTCATGAAAAGACATGGCTTTGTGCTGTGCGCTACAGATGACCTAGATTAGACTGTGGCAACACAGACACACATGTTAGAAGGATGGAGCAATTGTTGGTTTGCTCATTTAATTGCTGACCATACAAATCTATAGACTGTGACTAGACATATCCAGACAGATGGATAGATTAGGAACGTAATGGCCAAGGTTTGGGAGACCCTCCGGGGTAAGAATGTAAGTCAATACAATGTTCTTGGAATGGTGAATGTATACTGATGTAGATCATTTCTGTTAATATAAAAATTCTATTTATTTGAGTGTAGTGTAAAAAAAAAACCTTTAAAATGTTTGTGAGAGAAATTTAGGCCTTTAGATTGGAGAAATTGTTATTTATATATATATATATATATAACTAATTTGCTTGTTTTTGACTTTAGAGACTTGAATTTTGAGTGAAAATGTATTCTCACATGAACAGTACTGAAGACATGCACGTGTGTTCCTGTGTAAGTCAGCATTTGTTTAGGCGTCAGCAAAAGCACCATAACGGGGGTCTGATGCACATTATTACATCTAAGCCTCAAAAGTCAACACGGAAGAGAGAATGGAAAAAATAAATAAATAAAAAGGTTTTCTGAGCAATTCCGCACTATCAGAAAAGGTGTGATAATACACTATAATGTTGTATGAATTAAACATCTTCCTTTGGTACCCTGTAGAGTTTCTGGCATTACCACCTACTACCTTAATGGCTTCCCACACATGTGGTTGGCTATTATTTTTAGGCTGAAGGAAAATTCTTGTGCTTATGAAAGATTAAATGGAAAGTTATTTTCCAGAACATGTATTATTAATAATTAATCTGCAAAGACTGATATGAAACATATTATTTCCCCATTGCGCAGGCTGCTTTAATCTACCTTCCTGTACTTGTTTTTAACTCATCTTAAATCATCAGCATCTTCCTGTTCAAGCTTTTAAATTCTTTTTTCTTTGACTTCTTTTCTGTTCCTTTTGTATAGTGAAAGTGTTTGACTTTGTCTGACCATATCTCATAGAGCGATAAGCCGAGTACACGCCAGAGAGCAACCTTAAATCCTCAGCTAGGACCTTCCTGGCAATTCTGACGGTTATGAAAACTGAAGATGATTAAGTCTTTTTATTCAGTCTCTTTAAACCTCAAAACCATTTAAGAAAAACTTCAGAGAATCTAGTGGACAAAACAAGAAGAGGACAACAAAATTCTTGTGGCAGGGATATGCAGTCAGTTAGTAAGAGAAAAATCAATTTTAACACTCAAAAAAGACCACTTAAAGGGAGAGCAGACACTATCAATGCCCTTTTTGCAGCTCTCAGTCTGACAGCCGTTTTTTGTGTGGACAGCAGGATGGACTCAACTTCAAATTTCACCCATGTGATTTAGTTGGTTTAAATGTCAGATATGGGCAGGGTTACACATCGATTTCATGGGTTTGGAATTGGATTTGAGCACAGTTAAACAGAACAAGTTCATAAAATGAAAAGGACCTACCAGTATACGTTAATAAATGTATCATCTCACTGCTTGCATTCCATTGAATTCCAGTCATTTCAACTGTTTTGTTTGCATCCAGGGTTCAGCTGATGTTCAGCTCCCCCTTGAGGTCCTGGGTGATGGTGGTGCCCAGGAAGCAGAAAGAGTCCACAGGGTCCACTGGGCAGTCACTCAGGGTGATGCGGGGGAGTGGGGCTGTGTTCCTCCTGAAGTCCACAATCATCTCCACTGTCTTGAGAGCGTTGAGCTCCAGGTTGTGCAGCCTGCACCAGGACACCAGCTGCTCTGTCTCCCTCCTGTAGGCAAACTCATCTTCATCAGAGATGAGCCCAATGAGGGTCATATCGTCCACGAACTTCAGGTGTTTAACAGACTGGTGGCTGGAGGTGCAGCTGTTTGTGTACAGTGAGAAGAGCAGAAGGGAGAGAACACAGCCCTGAGGTGAACCAGTGCAGATGGTCCGGGAGTCTGAGATGTGTTTTCCCAGCTTCACGTGCTGCCTCCTGTCAGACAGGAAGTCTGTGATCCACCTGCAGGTGGAGTCTGGCACATTCAGCTAGGAGAGCTTGACCTGCAGGAGAGACGAGATGATTGTATTGAATGCAGAGCTAAAATCCACAAACAGAATCCTGGCGTAGGATCCTGGGGAGTCTAGGTGCTGGATGATGAAGTGCAGAGCCATGTTTACTGCATCATCTACAGACCTGTTGCCTCTCTAGGCGAACTGCAGGGGGTCCAGGTGTGGGTCTGTAGTGTCGTTGATGTGTCCTAGCATGAGACGCTCAAACGACATCGTGGCCACAGAGGTCAAGGCTAGGTGTCTTAAGTCATTCAGTTCAGATGTCCTCTGCTTCTTGGGGACGGGGTAATCGTGGAGGTCAGGCTGGAATGTGACATGTCTCCAGTGAGTTGTTGAAAATGTCTGTGAACACTGGAGACAGCTGGTCAGCACAGTGCTTCAGGGTGGATGGAGAGACAGAATCCTTGCCTTGCAGGGGTTCTGCCTCTTGAACAGTTTGTTGACATCTTTCTCCTGGATGGAGAAAGGTGTCACTGTGGGAAGTGGGGAGATGGGAGAGAAGGAGGAGGAGGAGGGAGCCTCTGAGGTGGGCAGCTGTGGTGAGGCTCCTGCTGTGATGGTGGAGGTGCAGGTGATGGATTGTGGTTGGTCTGAGGTGTGATGGGGGATGTTTTCAGGACTATCCCATTGTCTTTCAAATCTGCAGTAGTGCTCATTCAGGCTGTTGGCCAGACGCAGGTCGTCAGCAGCTTTGAGGGCCTGAGGCTTGTAGTTGGTTATCTGCCTCAGCCTTCTCCACACAGAGGCAGTATCATTGGCTGAGAACTGGTGTTGGAGTTTCTCAGAGTACTTTGCCTCTCTGAAACTGTCTCTGCCCCCACTCCTGAATGCTGAGTTTAGCTGTGAACCAGGGTTTGTCATTGCTGTAACTCACTCTGGTGCGTGTCGGTACACAGCTGTCCTCGCAGAAGCTAATGTAGGCTGTCACAGCATCTGTAAACTCGTCCCCACTATTGGTAGCATTCCTGAAAACATCCCAATCCGTACAGTCCAAATAAGTCTGTAGTTGCTCTACAGCTTCACTGGTCCACTCTGTATACAGGAATCAGATGGACCATCACGTGATCCGAGAGTCCCAGTGCGGTGCGGGGTACAGAGTGATAAGCACTGGTTAATGTGGTGTAACAGTGATCCAAAATGTTTTCCTCTCTGGTTGGACATTTAATTAATTGTCTGTATTTGGAGAGTTCTTGACTGAGGTTGCCTTTGTCCACTCCACATCCAGAATCTGGTCAGCGAGTGTGCGCTGTGCACCTGTCACGGGGTGACAAGGGAGTGGGAGGTGCGCATAACCGTGCCACATATATTTGAGTTGCTATAAATTATTATGGGTTGGCATGTTTATTTGTGTGGAGATTTGGGTTTGAATTATGGTTATTGTGTGCAGTGTTATCATTTCATATTTTGTGCATGGATTTGGTTTATTTATTATAATAAGTTGTAGAGTTTTTTTTTGCATGGATTGTTATGCATGATATGTGGTACAGATGTGGATAACTACACACGTCACCTTTCCCCCGCTACACCTCCCTTATGCTCTAATTACTCATTATTGGCCCAGTCAGCCTGCTCCACTTTAAAAGACAGGTGCGGGATTTCAGGAGGGCGGAGCAAATCAACCTGACGATATACAGGTGTCCCAGAAGACCTGTGAGGGGGACTTTGGATTGCTCGGACACCGCCGCGTCACGCCGGTGAACAGGGAGCTGCCGACTGCCCAGACAGAGCCACGCCACCCGGTGATCACGGCTGCGGGACTGCCGACTGCTGGACGGAGCCACGCCACGCGGTGATTACGCGGCTGCAGGATTGCCGACTGCCGGACAGAGCCATGCCATGCGGTGATTACGCGGCTGCGGGATCACTGACTGCTGGATGGAGTTACACCGCGCTGCGGTTGAACGGAGGCAGCCGGCCAGAAGACAGACACGAGACATCGCCGCAATACATTTGAGTGTTACTCAGACTGTTTTAAGAGCGACTTAACTCTGACACTCTAGCGAGTGCTTTGTTTATTGTAAGCCAGCAGCTGTGTTTTTATCTTTTTACTATCTTTTAAATTTCTTATTCGATCTTAATACATTATTATATACGCAGCTTCATCTCTGCTCTTTGTGTGTGTGTGGTGTGGCCCGGGGATTTTTATTAGGTCAGCCGATGGGACTTTTTCTGCCTCTGAAAAGACAGGGGGCTGGTATCCATAGACACACTGGAATGGTGACATGCCGGTGGCCGAGGTAATGAGCGAGTTGTGGGCATGCTCTACCCACACCAGATTCTTGCTCCAAGAAGCTGAAGCTGGGTTCTGCAACATCAGGCATCGAAAGCATGTCTCAAACTCCTGGTTGAGACGCTCTGTCTGGCCGTTTGATTCCGGGTGATACCCAGAGGTGAGGCTGACGGTGACTCCGATGAGTTTGCAGAACTCCTTCCAGAATCTGGAGATGAACCCTCGGTCTGAAACAATATCCTGTGGAAATCCAAGAATACGAAACGCGAGTCATCATAATTTCAGCCGTTTCTTTGGCAGATGGCAGCTTGGGCAAGGCAATGAAATGAGTC